CATTTCATCTAAAGGAGCAAATGGCTTCTCCGTTAACATATTCTGATCTATGGTGGTGTATAATTCCTTTTGAGAGGTCTGATGCATAAAGCAGCCTTGAAAAATCTGGTTATAAGCGGATTGGATACTGCAGAGGGTGGGTAAGGCTGAAATCTGTTCTTCCAAAGTTCTTAGGCTAAATTAATTCTCCAGTCCTGCTTGAAGGGATGTCAGGATATTTGATTTAGAAGGGTGAAGAAAATCAAAGTTTTTGTTATTTGCCCAAGATTAGAATGTCTCCTCGATATGATGGTAGCAGTCCAAAGTAGACTTTTAAAGAGTATTGATAACTGCTTTGTATAAACCTATTTGTAGGATCTTGTATTAACAGATCTTCCTCAGTAGAAGTAGCCAATATTTCTCCAAACTCCTTTTTCTTAGAAGCGTAAGCAAGATCTACTGGGCCATACTGGTATAACAGTTATTACTTTCCTTTCTTTTATCCTTATTTTTCTCAACAGGCGTTGTATCATTGGTAGGGGAAGAAACGTGTCCCTCAGATCGAAATTGTTATGGTTGAGAAAGCACATTTTGTCTTGCAGCTAGACAATCTAGATGAAGATAGAATAATATTGGAACCTGGGAATTTTTGGAAGTAGCCATCAGGTAGATCTGTGGTGCTGATCTGCTGAGATAATCTGCTAAAATATTTTTTGGGCCTGGTAAATAGACTGCTTTCAGATCCTGAAGATTGTTCTGAACAAAGTCCACCAGTGGAGACAATTCTTTCAATAGTAATTTGCTTTGAGTACAGCCTTGATGGCCACCGCTTTGTTGTCCATTTGTATCCAAACCTATGAATTTGCAATGTAGGGAAGGAATTCCTGTAGTGCTTTTGAAATTGCTCTCACTTCTCATATATTGGGAAGCTATTTTCTCTCTCTGCTGGACCATATCCCTTGTTTCCATAGTGTCACATCCCTGTAGGCTTGCATCTGTGGCGCTGGTGTGCAAGACCGGTTCTTCTAATAGGAAGCCCTGTGAAATGTTTCTTTTTTTGTCCACCAAACCAGATGTTTTTTTTACAAACTGGGGAGAATTACTATTTCTGTCCCTAGTTGGATCTTTGTTGTCTTAAAAAGTACACCTGAATAGAACAGGTTTTCCATTGTGCCCATTTTACAAGACTTGTAGTTGATGTCATGGAGCCCAGAAGACTCATAAACTCCCTTGCTGCAAGGGATATATTTTTCTGTATCTTTTATTAAATCCTGATTTTATACATAATACAGATTAAGGTACAGCACACACCTAAAAATACATTTCTAAAATCTGTAAGGCTACTTAAAATCATCAATCTCGGCAGACAAATAAGGGGATTCAGTTTCACCATATGGCAATATTGTGTTAGGCCCACCTCTACTTCACAGTACCCCAATATCTGTGGGATCTACACTGAATCCAACATGGGAGACAAATATTGCTAGTGCTAAATAAGCTTAAGTGAATTTAATTTATTGTGAATATATATAATGCAAAATTAATGTGATAAAGGCAAAAGTGAATCGGGGGCACACTCGGAACATGCATCTTGCAGGAATGGTGCTGCTGTAGTGACCAAAATATCCCTCTCCTAATATGTTGAGGTTAGGACTCTATCAAATATTCTGTACTCTGCCCTTGGGTTTTTACGTCCAAGATGCATTATCTTGCACTTATCCACATTAAATGTCAGTTGCCACAATTCTGACCATTTTTCTAGTTTACCTAAATCATTTGTCATTTGGCTTATCCCTCCTGGAACATCAACCCTGTTACATATCTTAGTATCATCAGCAAAAAGACATACCTTACCGTCAATCCTTCTGCAATATCACTAATACATTTTTTAAAGAGAATGGGTCCAAGTACAGATCCCTGAGGTACCCCACTGGTGACAAATCCAAGCTTCGAATATATTCCATTAACTACAACCCTCTCTTGCCTGTCACTCAGCCACTGCCTTACCCATTCATCAATATTTGAATCCAAACTTAAAGATTGCAGTTTATTGATAAGCCTTCTATGTGCAACAGTGTCAAAAGCCTTACTGAAATCTAGGTAAGCAATGTCTACTACACCACCCTGATCTATAATTTTAGTTACCCAATCAAAAAAATAAATAAGATTAGTTTGGCATGATCTCCCTGAAGTAAACCCATGTTGTCTCTGTTCTTGAAATCCATGTGTTTTTAGATGTTCATCAATCCTATCCTTTAACATGGTTTCCATCACTTTCCCCACTACTGAAGTAAGGCTTACTGGCCTATAGTTGCCCGACTCCTCCCTATTACCTTTCTTGTAAATGGGCACAACATTCGCTAACTTCCAATTTTCTGGGACTACTCCTGTTAACAATGATTGGTTAAATAAATCTGTTAATGGTTTTGCTAGTACACCACTAAGCTCTTTTAATAGCTTTGGGTGTATTCCATCAGGTCCCATTGACTTATTTGTCTTTACTTTTGACAGTTGAAATAGAACCTCTTCCTCTGTAAACTCACGTGTAATAAATGACTCATTTATCCTTTTTCTCAACTGAGGTCCCTTTCCTTCATTTTCATCTGTAAATACAGAACAAAAATATTCATTGAGGCAGTCAGCTAGACCTTTATCCTCTTCTACATACCTTCCTTCTTTTGTTTTTAATCTAACTAATCCTTGTTTTACTTTTCTTTTCTCATTTATGTATCTAAAAAATGTTTTATCCCCCTTTTTTACTGACTGTGCTATTTTCTCTTCTGTGTGTGATTTGGAAGCTCTTATAACTTGCTTAGCCTCTTTCTGCCTAATCTTATAGATCATTTTGTCTTCCTCACTCTGAGTTTTTTTATAATTCCTAAATGCTAACTTTTTGTTTTTAACTATTTTGGCCACATCTGCGGAGTACCACAGTGGTTTCTTGAATTTTTGCTTTTACTGACAAGCCTAATGCAATTTTCTGTTGCCTTCAATAGTGCAACTTTTAAATAATCCCATTTCTCTTGGACTCCATTTAAATTGCTCCAGTCTGATAATGACTCCTCTACCCATATTCTAATTTTAGAAAAGTCTGTTTTTCTAAAGTCTAAAACTTTTGTTTTTGTGTGGTGTGACTCAGTCACTGTTCTTATATTAAACCACATTGACTGATGATCACTGGATCCTAAACTTTACCTACAGTAATATCTGATACCAAATCTCCATTTGTTAACACTAAATCTAGTATGGCCTCTTTACGAGTTGGCTCCTCAACAACTTGTTTTAGAGACAATCCCAGTAGGGAGTTTAGAATATGTGTGCTCCTGGCACAGTAGCTCCGGGAAGACACCTCACAAGACCACCATTGTCTATCTCCACACCTCTTATAATGGAATTCCCAAACAACAACTGCTTTCTATTAGGCCTCACCATAGTCTCCAAGCCGGTCTCCACAACACCACTAGTCTCAGTGCCTCTCTCCACAACACCACTAGCCTCAGTGCCTCTCCCAACACCACCACTAGCCTCAGTGCCTCTCTCCACAACACCACGAGCCTCAGTGCCTCTCTCCACAACACCACTAGCCTCAGTGCCTCTCTCCACAATACCACTAGTCTTAGTGCCTCTCTCCACAACACCACTAGCCTCAGTGCCTCTCTCCACAACACCATTACACTCTAAAAGTGCAGAAAATGAATTATGAAGAGCAACAGACTGTGCAAAATGCCTTTTATCCACAACTCTAAGTCTACCAGATCCTACAGTAATCCATCTGCCATTCCTAGTATGTCTCTGCGGCGGTGGCTTTGCAGCAGTTCCAGTCTGAGTTTGTTCACCAGATAATTTACAAATCTCAGACTTCAAAAATACAATCTCCTGCCGCAAGATAGAGAACTGTCTACAGATTAGACAACAACCAAACCTCCAAAAAGTGGAACGTGAAACAAATGCATAGCAACTATTACACTGAACTAAGTCTGCCATTCCAATTAGGAGAATAATTTAAATCTAACAAATCTTAACTTTGTATTTATCCTCCTGAATACCTCAGATTACCTCCAGTTTATCTCCAGAATATCTCCAACTACACACTTAGAAACAGCACTCTCCAGAATATCTCCAACTACACACTTAGAAACAGCACTCTCCAGAATATCTCCAACTACACACTTAGAAACAGCACTCTCCAGAATATCTCCAACTACACACTTAGAAACAGCACTTAGAAGTAGCACCAAGCTATATTAGACAAGCTAATGACAACAAGCCTTATATAACTCCTAAAATCACCACCCACTAGGAATGTTTAACACCTGGGTAGGCCTCTGCTTATTTGCAAACAATAGCTAATTAACCAGCAATCAATAGCAATTAACTAGCTTAATCAAATCAAATGCCTTATAATTACCAACAGGAATTCAAACCTTGTGCAATCAGTAACCTTTTCCTACAGATGAATCTTACCTTTAACAGTAGAAAAGAAAGCTCTTAGCACAACTCTTAGACAGTTGAAGCTTCTGTAAAACTCTCCAGAATATCTCCAACTACACACTTAGAAACAACACTTAGAAGTAGCACCAAGCTTCCCGGTCTTGACATCCATGGAGACCAGATCTTCTATTGGCCAGGCTATTATTTCAGCTGGGTACCTAATGACTGGTAGGGCATATGTGTTTACGGCTTGGATCTTGTTTTTGCCATTGAGCTGGGACTTCAGGACCTGTCTGACTCTTTGGAGGTACTTGCATGTACCCCCAGGTACATATTCTGTTTGGCCTTCTGGAACCTCAACGCCTTCTGTTCTGATCATATTCCCTCTTTTTGCTATCATCCGCCTGCACTTCTCTAGTCTGAGTTACATTATGATGTCCTTGCTGTATATCCAAGTTATGTGTATCAGTGAGTCAATGTCCCGCTCATTCTTGGCATACAGCTTGATGTCATCCATGTAGAGTAAGTGGCTGATGGTGGCTCCACTCTTGAACCTGTATCTGTATCCACTCTTTTTGATGATCTGGCTAAAGGGGTTGAGGCCTATGCAGAACAGCACTGGGGATAGTGCATCACCTTGGTATTTACCACATTTGATGTTCACTTGAGTTATTGTCCTGGAATTGGCTTCTAGAGTTGTTTTCCACTTGCCCATTGAGTTCTTGATGAAGGCTCTTATTGTCTTGATGACCTTGTAGAGAACCAAGCATTCCAGTATACATGTGTGTAGCATTGTGTCATAGGCTTTCTTGTAGTCAATCAAGGCCGTACACATATTGGTCTGTTTGGTCTTTGAATCCCTTGTGACTGCTTGGACTACCAGTAGTTGGTGTTTTAATCCTCTGGTGTTGTTTCCAATCCCCTTCTGAGTATTGCTCATATATTGATTCATATGCCCTTGGATCTTGGAGAAGTTTCCATGTTGTGGGGAGGCAGGTTATTGGTGGGTAGTTGGATGGTGCTGTTCCCTTATGAGGGTCCTTCATGACCAGTATTGTTCTGCCTTGTGTTAGCAAGTCAGGGTGGGAGCCTGTTGCTAGTAGCTGGTTCATTTGTGCTGCTAGGGGTTCATACAGTAGTTGAAGATCATGTCAGGTCCTGGGGCTGACCAGCTATTCATGTGTGCTGCTCTCTGTTGGATATCTTCAACTGTGATGATCACTGGTTCCTGTTCTGGCAGCCTGCAATGGTCTGCTTTCAGGTCTAGTAGCAACTGGGCCTCTGTGTTATGAGATGCGTCTTGCTCCCAGATATTCTTCCAGTACTGTTCAGTCATAGCTGAATGGTGCTCAGATCACATACATATAGTTCAATTGCCATGGAGCCAAAGTCTTTCACATAGTCTTTCGTTATACGAATGGGCTCCATGGCATAGCTCTCTGAGGTATCACTGTTCAAATAGTGCAAGTACAGAATGACCCGGCTTTCGTGTCTTTGCAGGGGAAAATCAAGCGTTTCAACATGGTGCCATAGTCTAAAGGCAGCAGGCGGGCAACCAGGTTCCTCCAATGCACAGTGTCGAGATTGGTCTTGTCACATCTCTCCCCTTTTCCAAACAGACTAACAGGGTATCTGACCTCCTGTCAGTCAGTGCCCTGGTTAGACCAGCAACTCACCCATAAAACACACTTAGTAGTACAGCCCACTCACACCTGAGTACGGGGAAAACTTGTTCATGTCCAGGTGCCTCACCACAGCTTTGTGTGGGACTGGTACGCTGAATTGGTGGGTTGTGAGGTGGGCAGAGTACAGCTTATCTCTGCCCACCTCGCAACCCACCAATTCGTACAGCACTACCACGGAAGTAGCCTGGTGGGAGCCTGGTTGCTGGAGGGGGAGACCTACTGTCTCCCCTTTGGATAAATAGCTGTGCTGCTGGAGGGGGAGACTGATCGTCTCCCCTTTGGACAAAGCACCATGCTGCTGTGGGGGGAGACCGACTGTCTCCCCTTTGGCTAAACAGCCCTGTTGCTGGTGGACAGGACCAACTGTCCCTACCCCCTGTGCTGTAAGTGCAGAGACCACGGTCCCATCTCCACAGTTGTGGGGCTTACTGGTGCGTTAAGCTGCCGCTGGGGAGAGGGGTTAACAAGCTCATAGAAACATAGAAACATAGAATGTGACGGCAGATAAGAACCATTCGGCCCATCTAGTCTGCCCAATTTTCTAAATACTTTCATTAGTCCCTGGCCTTATCTTATAGGTAGGATAGCCTTATGCCTATCCCACGCATGCTTAAACTACTTCACTGTGTTAACCTCTACCACTTCAGCTCATCTCCCATACATACTTCCAGCCGTTGGGGAGGGAGACCGACTGTCTCCGCTCCCAACACAGTGTCCTGCTGCTGGGGAAAGGAGACTGGGCTCTCTATTCCCTGCTTGACACTCTGCCTCTGGGGAGGGAGGACAAGGCTCTCCTCTCCCAGTAAGTCACTCTGCCCCCTGTAACTCAGCCTGCCGCTGGGGAATGGAGACTGGGCTCCCAATTCCCAATAAATCACTGTAACGGATCGCCTGGCACCCCGACTGGGTACCTCCGTTAAAGGATGCTCCTAGCGCTTCCTGAGGACTCCATGCACTGCAGCAGACACCACAACCACCGAACCGGAGAAGCATTTGAATCCTCTCAAGCATATGAATGCTGTAGACAGTTGAATAGGAACCATACGAATAGGTTTACTCTCCTAGCAGTCAAACTGGAACAGCATACAATAAATCCTTCCCCCAATAATGAGACAACACTTCACTTTGAGGGTTAAAACAGGAACTCCTGTACTGTCACATACAGTCTCTTTTATTCCCAATCCACAAACATAGTACAGCCCACAGGGCGTTACAAAACAGCCAATCAATCCATACAATACACCCAGACACTCCCACACAAAATCCTCCCCTCTGGCTGTGATTACTGAACACAATGGGTAATCTAATTATCACAGCCAGAGAAATACAGTTTCATAAAACACATCACAGGGACCCCAAAACATGCAATAACCCCATAAAAAGTATATCCTTGGAACTGGGGGATCTGGGTGAACCACATATCCAAAATTCACCCAGATCCGTTCAGTACTTTGGAAAATACAGTTTAATGCAGATTCTGCAGAACATATACAGGCTAAATAAAAAACAATCACTGTATAATGTGTCCCCTGCTGTATAGTCCAAAACCACCGCACGATGTCTCTGTGCAACAAATACTGGCGAGATGGCACCGTGTTGAAAAGTCCAAACAGTGTCTGTGAGTTAAAATGGCCGCCATCCATTGTTCTCACCATGTGCTTCTGATACAGGAAATGGTGGCCACCCAGTAACTCCACAGTATGTCCCCAGATGGTTCTTAAAGGGCCAGCAGCAGCACAACACAAATCCATTATGCCTAAATCATGTCTTTAAAGGGCAATACATCCCAGGGGCCATAGTCACATGGCAGGAGGCTGGCAACAAGGCTTCTCCAGTGCATAGTGGCGAGGTTGGTTCCGCCACAATCACTCTGCCGCTGGGGGACAGGACCGACTGTCTCTGCCCCCTGTAACTCAGCCTGCCGCTGGGTAATGGAGACTAAGCTCCCAATTCCCAATAAATCACTCTGCCGCTGGGGGACAGGACTGACTGTCTCTGCCCCCTGTAACTCAGCCTGCTGCTGGGGAATGGGGGTAACAAGCTCTCTCCCATACATACTTCCAGCCGCTGGGGAGGGAGACTGACTGTCTCCGCTCCCAATACAGTGTCCTGCTGCTGGGGAAAGGAGACTGGGCTCTCTATTGCCTGCTGGACACTCTGCCGATGGGGAATGGAGACTGGGCTCCCAATTCCCTGCACTTGGCTCTGCCACTGGCGGACAGGACCGACTGTCTCTGCCCCCTGTAATTCATTGTGCCACTGGGGAGAGGAGACTGGGCTCTCTCTGTCCCGCAAATATAACTGCCGGTGGAGGTCCACCCTGTAGCGGAACGCTGGTCTCTCACAGACTATTTCCACTGGTAGTCCAGGCGTGGCTCAGGAACAAGTAGTAACCCCAGGAGAACGTGGACAGTAATAGAATAATCCAACAGCGTAGCAAGCACAATCCGCAATACAATCCAATAGTATCCCATCACCTTTCCCAATAACTGGACGACACAGAGTATCAGGAGCAGAACTGAACTAACTTTTAATCACACAACCCCTGCTTTTATGCAATGCTCCCGTGCAAGGGAGCCACCCACAATAATTAGTACATAAACCAATAAAGTACAAGGTACAACCAACACATCTCCTCCCATCAGCTTATCTGTTAACAGAATTAAAATGTACACATTTTACCCCAAGTTCTAGATGTACCCCAAATACATAGGGTACATCCCTAAATGTGGTACCCCCTGATAGCCCTGATCTGGGTGAATAACATATTCAAAAATCACCCAGATCGGACCAGGGGTTCAGGAGTTATGGGGGTTAAAATGTTAGTTGGAGTTCTTTTTAGACCCACTGAAGCATGGCTTTCCAGCCCAAACCAGTTCCAACTAGTCTGGCAGCGTGCCTGGGACAACGCCCTGCTGGAGAACAATGGGACAGGAAACGGGGGAGGCGTACACCTTCCTATACACAATCTATACACAGTCTAATAGAAGTCCATACACTGTGCTTAAAGGGCCAGTAGCTGCATAATAAAAATCCATTATGTCCAAATACGTTCTTAAAAGGCAATACATCCCAGGGGCCGTAGTCACAGGGCAGGACGCGGGCAAACAACCCCCTCCAAAAACTCATGGCAAACTCCTTTAAAGGGGCGAGTTTGCTACACACCCAACGTTACAGCTGACCGTCACCTTCTGCCCAGAAGAGCAGGGTCTTGAACACTGGGCTCCTCACGAACTTCACGGATTTCTCAGGTGGATTGGGTCCGTAGAAGTTCAGCCGCAACCACATCATACGGTCAAACTCCTCTAAAGAGTAGCTGTACTCCACTGCTGGTTCCATTCTGGTGCTGTCAGGGACGCTGTACCAGGACATGCATTGCCTTCAGTTTGTAAATCCAGGAAATGGTGTCTCCTTGTAGCTGTCCTTCTGGCTGTAGGAATGATCCTGCTGCTTGCCACCAATTGTAACAGCACCCCCAGCATAAAAGGGGTTAACAGCCGTTTCCTAGATATTCCCCTTCCAGATATACAGGCAGCTACTGTAGACACCAACCCACCGAACCGGAGAAGCATACAAATATACGAATGCTGTAAACAGCCGATTAGGAAAAAACATACAAAAGGTTTACACTCCTAGCAGTCAACTGGAACAGCATACAATAAATCCTCCCACAAGAACGAGACAAGGCTCCGTGTTGAGGGTCAAACAGGAACAGACAGAGCTGTGGGTTTATTGTTCTTATATACACATTCTTACACCTTAGTGCCACCCACAGGGTTTTGTAAAACAACCAATAAACACGTACAATACACTCAGACACTCCCACACAAAATCATCCCCTCTGCCTGTGATACAATTACCTTACACAATGGGTTAATGTAATTATCACAAGCAGAGAAATACAGTTTTTCCACATTATTCATAACTTTAAAAGTGTATGTAACGGAGCTCCTTGTACTCCGACTGAGTACCCTCCGTTGATGGATGCTCCTAGCGCTTCCTGAGGACTCCAAACACTGCAGCAGACACCACAACCACCGCAGACTCCGCAACCGCCGTATCTTGACTGGAGTCTCGCCCTCTTCCTTCCACCCTGGATCAGCTTCTGTCCTCCAGGACTGTGTGGGAAAGAACTCTTCCTTCCACCCTGTACGAACCTCCAGCATCCAGGACTGTGTGGTGAAGACCCCTCCTCCAAGGAGAGCGTGTCAGGAACAAGCTCTTAAAAGAGCTAAGTGATTCAAGCTCAGGGGAGCATGCAGAGCATAGCAATCCCCAGTGTGATTATAACAGGTCCCTCCAATAACGAGACAAGGCTACGTTTAGAGGGATCAAGAAGAACTGTCAAAACCTTTATTCCCTTGGGA